AGTAGTGCTCAAGCTACGAGGCGCGTCTCTTTAGTAGAGCTGATTAAAAAAAATAACGAACTTTAATTTTCATTCAACAAAATCGAGTCGGACTATAGGCGTAATGAAGTGTTTTTGTCGAAAAAAACGCAGCACAATAAAGGTTGGAAACCTCTGCATTGTGTGATAATAGCTTCAGGATTGAAACCAATACTCGATAGTTAATAGATAAATTATTGAACAGTTCATTTAATTGTCATACAATATTATTTTTCGTTCCCTTTCTTTTTTACTGGAGGGACATTGAAATGAATTGAGTGAAATTTTTGATTAAAATTTGTGAAAATGTTCAATTAATTTTTCATTCGTTTTCTGAATATATTATGAATAAAATTTAATTTATTTCTATATTTACTGATAATGATATCCATCTATAAACATAGTTATTCATTAGCACTTAAATTAATTGTCATTTGTGCGCAGAAAGTTTACAAAAAATTTTTTCATTTGAATGTATTATGCAATAAAATGTTAATGATTTTGCAAGCGAAATAAAAAAAAACCCAAGTAAATATGGACTTTGAATACTATATGAGAAGGAGGCAAACAATTATTTTTTTTTTTTGTGAACAGCCGTTCAAGCGCCGTCGCCTTTTTGTGTAGACGCGGTAGTGGCGTGGACGAACTGATGGCATGAAGAGAGAAAAGGGCGAAAGTGCTGTTTACGTAGGTTCGATTTGAAAGTGAAGAGATCTGGTAGGGTGAGATTATACCAAAGTCCGACAGTGCGGTTGAACAACGACAGACAGGCGACGACAATGTGTTGCGCGATATGTGGACATCTGTAGAATGAGTGAATGGGAACGTTGAGGCAGCCGGATTCGAATGGTAGGTAAATTATATACTTGCACCGCCTTTGCCCATTTATATGCATAGCATAGCGTGCACTAGGCTCAATAGTGTCGAGAGTATTGGACATACTCTCATCGCTCTTCTGGGTTCTTTGTTGTACGCTCACACATGTGAGTTGCACTCCAGTTTTAGCAGGATATAGTCCATGTACATGTTGCGGATATCGTCGCTAGTGAAGTATTTTTGTCGCTTAAGAAAGGTTAGATTCTTGACAGCGTTTTCCGATGCTTCGAACATGTGTTTTCTCCAACATACCCTGAATAAGAGGGCACACATAAGTACATATATATGTATATATATGAAAATCCAAGTACAAGTACGTGCAAGTATTGATATAACTGAGATCACCTACGGTCTACATTTGTGGCAATAAGAGTCCAACTCTACCCATCGAATAAGTGTAGAGCCTTGCATTACGTATTGATAGCTTCACGGAATACATGCATGCCTAACCACCCTGAACAAAAAAACAAACTGAAAAAAAAAAATTGTATGTCTTTTCTATCCATTTATTTAAATTACGACTACCATCTCGACATTCTGGCTAGAAGAAAAAGTTTGGCATTCGTGAAGCATATTTTAAAAATCCACTAAAGCGCACCGTAGTTCCACTTAAAATTAGCAAAAGATCAGTAAGATTTTTAATACATCATTCTAAAATGGTAAAAGTTTGCACAAAAATGATTGAAACACCAGACAGAAATAAGGCGGAGAATAGGTACAAAGTTTTCAATTTCTTTTCTTTTATCTATGTAGTACACAATATGTGATTTCAAATATATCTATAAACATATATATATAAGTAAAAATTTTCTTGCAAACAAATGCCATATACAAGATCAATATCACTTCTGTTCTCTCTTAAGTTCTTGTAATGGAAATAATAAGCAAATGATTTTCATGTGCCGATATATGTCATTATATATATATATTCCTAAGGCAACTAGAGCTTTCTTAACTATTTAATATTTCATTTTTATTTTCTACAATCACATACGTTTAAACATTTACATATTTAGCTTACTATAATATCATCATTATAATTATCATCTTAAAGTCATTATACTGCTTATAACAGTAAGCAGACATGTATTCTAAGGATGTTTTTTAGTTAATAATTATAATGAGATATGTTAAAAAAGAGAAAAGAGAAGAAGATGAGCAACAATAATAATAACAACAACAAGAAAAGTACATATATAAAAGTAAAAATCTGTGTTAAGTGAAGTAAAACCTAAAATACATAAATTACTTGCTTTGCTTGCGTCTCCCTTTTGGTTGTTAATTCATCGTTCGTCAACACTTCTTCACATTGCTTCTACATGTATTTCTCATTAACCTTCAATTAACATAGCATTTCTATGACATTGATATATATATATATATATTTAGGTATATATCATACAAACGTAGAATCGTTCACTAGAATAATGCTCTATAATAATTTTTGCGTTATAGTACCCAACAGATTATCAGCACAAAGAGGAATTCTTCTTTCATAAGTACTAGTGTACGTATGCATAACAAGTAACAAGGATGCATGTTATATGTTTATGTCATTTATGTATTTGTATTTTTTCAGATACATTTACATCTATATATGCATATATATACATATAATTGAAGAAAAACATATGCAAAAAATGAAAAGCGATAGAGAGAAAAATATATATATATATATATATATATATATGGAAATCGTCGTGGATATGTGTGATGTGTGGAACACTTCTGTTTAGGTATGCGTGTGTAGTACTGAAAAATTATTTTCTACTACAATATACTACAAAAAAAAAAAAAAAGAAAAAAAAAGAAATACAATTTCACTGGTTTTTCCTCTAAACCTGTGTATATGTACGTATGTGAAAAATAATAAATAAATATTTTCGTAGCTGTGAGAGAAAAATATATTTTCTTTTTTTTGTATTTGCTACATAACGTTATTGTACGTGGTATTGTATTTTTTAGCGGGTGTTCACAAAAAAAAAAAAAAAACGAAAAAAAAATTTATGGAATTGATGAATATGACAAGAGTGACCTAATTTCCTCACACAAACCCACACACACATATATATTGTATTTGTTGGCAATATATACTGAAACTGAATACTTTCTGTTTATTGCATGCTGTATGCTATATATATTGTGCATTGTATACTGTTGTATTGGTCTACTGAAATAAGCATATTTTCCATTTTATTTATTTATTTATTTATTTTTTTTTTTTTTAGGAGAAAATTCGTCAATATTCTCGTATATGTATTGATGATAAAGAAATGTGAAAAGCAAATAAGATTTCTACAGATGTTTTACAACGAATTTTTGTTCCCCTTCTCTCTTATATTAATCATGTCATTCGCAGGAAAAGTTGTTTTAGAAAATATTAAAGATTTTTCTTTGATATCTCTTTAAGGCTACAGGCTTGCTTGTTGCCTTTGAAGCTTATATATGTTAAAATTTTCCCCTTAAGAACATTTTAGGTATAAGTGTGGCTTGGGTAAGCCCCGTTGTTAAATCCCTGGCGTCCTACTTATCCTGCAATTAGAAGGTCGTCTCCGGTTTGCTTCACACGTTCTAATATGTCTGAAATATTTTTTTCTTTCTACGCGAGTTGTAAGGAATTCAGTGTACCTTACCATGCGTATTTGTACCTATGCACAGATATATATATATATATATATTTATTATAGCGGTTACTGTAGAGCTGAACTCATTATCTAAGCTGCAAATGTAAATGGAAATCCAATTTAACGCAAATTTTACTTCAGGTACTGTCGAAAGCTATACAAAAAGCGTAGTAACAAAAAATGGAGGATCCTTTTATCCCTAAACTGTAGGTTTTCTATTTGATAGTAACTGATGATTTGATTTAAGCATGTCTGTCTGTCTGTCTATCTGTCCATCTTGTTTCCCTTGTTGTGTTCGCAATTTTGATGAAATTTAGTGTGCTGACGTGTTACGGCCCAACGAAGAACGCTATTGAAAATCGCTCGAATGGGACAAGGGCACTTTTTCGACCACTTCCGATATAAAGCCCTATTTTGAAAGTCGTTGTACGAATAACCGTGGGTTGGTGTAGTGCCTTGACCCTCCATAACGCATTTCTTTGCTAGGTAATAGAGGTGTGTTTATAGGTATTTAAGGCTAAGGTATATCGAATTTCACCAATGGTATATGCGTTGGCACATTTTGTCACGCTTCCGCTTAAAGCAGATTGGATGGGGAATTTTTTTGAACATTTTTTTTTTTCATCATTATGCGCTAAGAAACCATCTGCCGTAATACCTTGTCTAAAACTGTTGGTGCTGCTTCTCAGATAGGCAATTAACTTTAAATCTCCAGTAAATTTCATAGAAATAATAAACTCAAAGTAGTTCTATGGAAAAATCGTATGGATTCGCCAGTGGTGGCGTGGCGACTTTTATATGACATGCTATGAACGTATTGTTCGCAAACGAATGAAGCATTAGATTAATCCTACTCATCGTATATCGACACACGTGCAATATCACGTGCATTTTTTTTTTGTACTTAGCTTTAAAATTTTTTAAATTTTCCTTCTTCGGTATGTAAAATGAAAAATTTTATGTAATTTTTCTTTTACTTAAAACCTGTAAAGTCTTGAAAAATATTCTTTTTCTTCTTAGCCTATATTCGAAAAGTTATTTATTAACATGTTTTGATATTTTTTGTGTAAGTATATGTGTAACAAAGAAAATAGGGCAAATATGTTACAAATAAATAAATATATTCGAATATAAAGGTTGCATGGAGTGCAAAATCTTAAGGTGTTGCTCAACTTGCTGTAAAATAAGATGATAATGGTGCAGCAGGTGTTCATAATATAAGTATATATATATATATATATATATATATGTATATATATATTTTTTTTTTTTTGAGGTTAGGAAAGAAAAATGTAAAATCTACTTCATGCACCTTTCAAACTTCATAAACTTTGATAGCGTAAGAAACATAACCAAGAGAAAATAAATATTAGTGTGAAAGGAATGGAAAGAATTGAGAAAAAGTTCAATTCTGTAAAATATTGAAATTTTTCTTACTCACTAAACTGCCTTTTTTCTTTTTTGCTCTAATAATGATTTCAGATCTCAATATAATTACGTGGCCACTTTAAAAAGGCAATGAAATCGCGTAAGCTACCCAAAGGCTTCGTGCTTTGTGGCTTGAATTGCTTAACTTTTGTTTACTTTCCATTGGTTTTACCGATACTGATATGCTCGGCCAACGATTTCGATTATCGTTTGCAGAGGGTGAGGAACGTTTTAAAAGAAGTGCCCCTAATAGATGGGTAAGTAGTAAAATCCAAAACTAACGAATCCATCGACAAACCTCACCTTTCTTATTACCTTAGCGTTCAATGATGGAAGAAAAAAGAAAGTTAATGAAATTTTAAGCTAAATATACTCTGAAGGTTTACTTTCATTTACAGTCTTTTTCTTCATTATTTCTCTATAGAACACTTTTCAAGTTTATTTACTCCCCTTTGTTTTTTTTTTTTGTTTTTCTTTTCATTTATTTCAATCTTCTTCCGCTCGAATTGCAGACACAACGACTTACCATGGAATATAAGGAAGTTTTTAAAGAATCAATTGAAAGATTTTCATTTTGGTGGCGATTTAAGGCAAATACAACCGTGGTCGAGCAGCGCTTGGAGTCATACGGATTTGCGGAGACTGAAAGAGGGCATGGTGTCAGCACAGGTATGTAAATTCTATCGCATCATTTGTTTGTTATGAATATAAATGTAATAGCAGCAGCGATATCCTTTCAGTTGTTGTCAGAATATTTGTAAAAAAATTCTTTTTATTAGCATCAGTTGTTTCGTTGTAGCCTCCTTCAAATCAAGCGTATAAAGCTTTATTCCATCATGCTGTAGTTTTGTACTGTGCCGGCAGCTAGTTGCACTAATTCCATGCACACCACATGCTGCTATATATTGTTTTATGAGAAAAGAAAATATAATCGTTGTGCTATGATTTGAATTTTTTAGCTCGAAGCCATCCACCACCAATACGTTTTTGTTCCTTAAGCTTGATTAGATAATTTCACGTTGTAGAAAAAAAAAATGATTTGAATCTGTTAACGTTTCCAAAGAGAGATATAAAATAAGAGATAAAAAAATAAGCTTAAGTTTGTTTAAAGAGGAAAGAGTCAGTTATTTAATGGACGGAAGATTATGCGAAAAAAAATAATAGTGAGTCTCTATGCAAAAGAATCGTATTTAATCTTACTGTATATAAGCACGCAGAAAAGAACAATCTGATAGTTCGTATTGACTGATTTCAATAGATTTCATCATCGACTGGATCGACTGCACATGTTATAGTTAATCTTCACAACATCACGACCATGTGTAAATAATTAAGTGGTACGATTTTCTTCACGTAGCATATTAGGTCAAGAATAAACTTGCTGGCGTTTTTCTTAGTAGATGGCGTGAAGGCGGTGTAAACATGACAATACTAATTCTATCAAAAAGGCATTTTATTATTATTAAAAGAATTAATAATTTTTTTTAATCTAGAAAGGTAGAAAGTGGATGGTAGAAAATAATATATTCGAATGAATTTCGCTTGTTATAGATAGGGGTATGTTTTGTTCTTTTTCTTGTTTTTTTTTTTTTATGTAACACCCAAAAGGGCTTCAGAGACTCTATAAAGTAGCTACTTCGAATTTGGTAGAGACATTGGAAGTTGTCGCATGCAGGTTCGTATTGAAAATGGGACAAATTGGTCGGAGCAGAAGCCCCGAGTCGAGCATAAACTGAACGCAACTCCTTTTTTCTTAACAAAATCTGTGGCTTTCAGGCTTACTCAGAAATTATTGAAATTCGAAAGCTGAAATCTTCGACATTTGCTTTACGAAGCACTCTAGACTTGACGTGGAAAAATCGAAAAAATTAGCCATGTTCACAAAAAGTTAAAAGTGATTAAATTTTTTTCACTTTTTTGAGGATTTATGATTATTTATCATAAGCCAGAATGTTTGAAACATTTTTGTACATTTCGCATATGGTGACATATTATCTGCCTGAAAATGGGTTAATTCTAAAATGAATATGTTAGACACCGTGACCTAGTGGATTAATTTTTTCTTATTAGTACCAGCGATATGGGTATCAAATAAAAGAGCTTGCAGAGTAGAATGCGAAAGGAGTAGTGGTGGGTATGCGAGATTCGACCCCCGCTGCTTTTTTACTTGTTTTTATTTTGACAAGGAAGGGTTGAAGCAAATCGAATTTAGAAAGAAGCTAAACGTTCACACAATTAGCTCTGTTTGCTCAATTCAGCTCTGTTTACATCCCATCCCTATTTGCTTTTTATAAATGTATGTGGTATACTTGTAATTAAATGATTTGTATTGTTATAAATTTATTATGTTACGTCTCTGGCCCCGTATTGAAATAACATTTTTTCGATTCCCGTGAACTGATAACATTTCGGTACATGACCATTTGTCGATTTGACCGGGCACTATATAAGTTTCAGCTGCCCAGTGAGCTAAAAGTAGTGCTTGTTATTCTACGCAGTGGCAGTTTTTTTACAATTTACGTGATAGCAGATATATCGAATAGAAATGGTTTATTGGAAACACTAACAAACACAAGTGAAGACTGCTTCGAATGGATGGAATCAGATGCAATAAGATCTGAAACTGAAGAAAGCGATGAAAAAATCGACCACTAATAATGAAAGCGAAAATGTCATCACTATGCCCAGACAAAGGTGCAGAATACAAATTATTGCAGACTCTGATGAAGAAACCGAAAACTCCTTCAGCAGGCCAAAACAACTGCTGATGGTATTGTGTGATCAAAATTTGACGAAGGTGGTAGATTAGCATCTAGTTGCACTTTCAAGGATGTGCAAGGTCGAACAAGCTACTCAAAAACTACTATGATAGATACTCATATTATAACGTCTATAAGAGTGCGCATAGAAGAAGAAGGTCGTCGCATGTTGAGAAATGATTGCAGCGTATCGTTACCGGAAATATCTGCATTTGTTGGGATTCTGTATGGTCGTGCAGCTTAGGAAGCAAAAAATTTAAAAATGAGCTATTTATGATGGTATTTTTAGAAAATCTATGGCCAGAGAAAGGTTTAAGCCAATCCCATGGTTTATTCATTTTGACAGAACCGAAAGAAGTGAGCGCCTAAAAAGACAACAAATTTGCCTTGGTTTCAGAAATATGGAATAAGTTCGTTGAAAACAATCAAGGCTAGGGGCAAAATATAACAGTTGGTAAGCAATTATTTTCTTCAAAAATCAGATGCCACATCTGGTTTCAAATTCTGGCTTCAGATGTCAGCAGCAAATACGCTTTGAATAGCTTCCTTTATCCGACCGAGCATCATCAGTGCTTCAGAGTGAATATGTTGTTACGAAACTTGTCCAGCCATACATAGGATGTGGAAGAAATATTACGACCGACAACTTTTTCACCAGCGTATCGCTAGCGACAAAATTATTGGCTAAAAAAACAACTCTAGTTGGAACTACGGGAGAAAACAAAAACCTCTCTACACTCTGCCATATAAATCAATGAACTGTGGTTTTACAATACAACAAATTAAACGAAAGAGTGGCTCTTCTAAGTTCGAAGCATCAATTTGTGACAACTGATAAAAGTAATGAAAAACTTTTACCGGAAACTATTAAATTTTGTAATAGCACAAAATTTGGACTTGACATAGCAGATCAACTGGTCAGACAATATAGAGTAAAACCTAGTTTACGTAGATAAGCCCTACAAGGATTGTTGTTTTACATTTGGCTTGATTGAAATGTTCCAGATTTGGCTGCTATAAATACTTGGAACCTTTACAAAGAAAGAGCAGGAATAAGAATACAACGAAAAGATTTTTTATTTCAATTAACAGAATAGCTTTCCATTGAGATTTCACAAGACCCTGAATAACCACAAAGGTCAGCTGCAACATCATCAAATTGCAAATCATCCTAACAGACGCGGGATTTGTCAAGTACGACTTTGCCACAATAACAAAGCGAGTAGTGTTTGTGAAAAATGTAAAAAGTATGTTTGTGGAAAGTGTACGTATGAAAAAATTTCCACTTTAATTTGCAGAAAATGAATGTAATAATGCATAAACTACTTGTTTCTTCTTTTATTTATTATTTGATATTTACTAATAACGCAATTATCCTACGCATTAGTTATTCTTTCATAAAGCAATCAATTTGACTGTACTTATCCGCCTGAGTGGCCGAAGGCGAGGAATCTCGACTATCAACTCAATTGTCGTGGGTTCGAATCTCAAGTGCGGCAGGATTTTTAATAAAAGCCGATAGCCTCTAGACGCTAGTGCCATAAGAGTTTAGTCTTAGAATTTATTTCTCTGGCGAAATTAATAATAATAATAATAACTGTACTAAGTTTCAGTCTTTTAGCGTTAAAGATGTTGGAAAAAGTATTAAATTTTGATACCCTACCAACATTGGTAGGCGTGGATAGCCCAGAGAATATATCTTAACATCTCGGTGTACTTGACTGCTATAGTTTATGAGTAATACAAAAAAAACAATTTTTTATTCCTTTTGAAAAGCAGACGTGCTCCCATCTTACGTGATATTGTAGTCGCTGCTTTCGACCGACTTGGTCTCTTTTCAATATCCACCTGCGTGCAGACGAAGCTTTAAAACAGACATTATACAGACGGACAGACGGATATGCATAAATCGATGTCAATTTTTTCCCATTTTTGTACAGCACGCCCTTTATGCGTAATGACCAAAAAAAAAAAAAAACATTTTTTAATCTTTTTTGAAAAATAGACATGGTATTATAGGCGTGTCCTTTGGTCGATTTCGTCCATTTTCAATATTTCTGCCAAATTTGAACTCGAAAGCTCCATTTTTGCTAACGCGAGGATATTTATAACAGGCATTATACAGGCGGACAGACAGACAGACGGACAACTTAGATCGATTTAGAATTTAATGTTGATCAGGAATATATATAATTTGCACGGCCTCTGACACTTCCTTCTGGACGTTGCAAATATTTTGATAAAATGAATGTACGACTCATTCTTCGGTGATGTGTGTAATAATTGGAAAACTTGGGAAAGTGTGGCGAACGGCCTGGTAAGACGCATCTATATAAACATCCACAATCAAGCTAACCGCAAAGATTGTTAAGATGCCAGCAAAGGAATTCGTGTTCATATTGAACAGTTTTTACCTAATACAGTGAATCATTTGCGGAAAGACTGACAAAGGAGAAGAAAACTAAAAGTTACTTAAAAACTATCTTCAAACTCTATACCTGCAAAATCGGTCTTGAAACCTATATTCGAGGTGATAGGTTCAATCCGTAGGTATCTGAAATAAGACAAATAAGTACAAATATATAGGGCAAAACCGATCTTAAAATGCTCTATACCATTTCGACTAATACAATTATTCATTCATTTTGGTGGCAAAGTGCCAGAAATTATACTTCGTATGCATCTTAAGGAATACTTTTGCGAGTCCCTATAAAAAAGGTAGCCTAAAACATAAACTAACGTGAGCCAAATTTAGCAAACTTACTTTATTTGTTACAGATATTATTATTCTTTACCTATTCACACCCTATCCCTTTCCTATATTAAGTTCGTGCGGATTTATCCAACCCCCAAAAGGACTTGAGATAGATGCATCTTTTATTATACCGATTGATTCAGAATCAATTTCTAATTTGAGATACGCTTGTCTGTCCATCCGCCATTTTCTTTCTTTCCGTTCAACCTACATGTCACAATTGCTGATGAAATTTGGTAAGGATGAACGCTATTGGCAACACTTCGGATATGCTTCCCATATAACGCATGATTTCGTAAAGTCGCCGTATGAATAAATGTATAGTGGTTTAGAGTATTTTATAGTGGCTCATGTTAGTGCTCTCCTCGGTTTTTCTTGTAAAAAAAAAAAACAAGTTTTCCCACCGATGAATTTTAATCTTCGGGTATTTGCAAACATACATTGAACATAATTACAACACACAACAATTAGGTGCTTTCCTGATAAAATTTAAACAATGAATGTTGTTATAAAAAAAATGTACAATATTTAAACTTCATCTGGTATGAATAGAATGAAAGTTTGATGTATAAAGCAAAGAATGTTAAATAACATGAAGAAGAAAAGGTTTCGCACGACATTCTCAGGCTGAAGTTATCTCTACTCTACTTGTAACATACAGTTTATGCTACGCTTTGGGCACTTTGGTAGGGTTATGATTACAATTCTTTTCACTCCGGTTTGCTTTCTGTATCTGGCGACTTATCCAGCACGCACTCAAAATACCTGTGGTAGGTCTTTTCAATTGAGTTTTATATTTAATCAAAACTTCATCTTTAGAAACTTTTGATTTTTTATCCTCTCAGATTTATTTTACATAATGCAGACATCGTGATTTGATCTTAAGCGATATATATATATTTTCTTAACTTTTCTTTTTTATAGTTTTGGTCGGCCTATGCCCCGTGTTCCTCACAACATCTAGATGCTGTACAATTAACCTTAGAACAAATCGATCTTATACGACGTCTGGTCAATCTCTATCCGCATCATATGACTCTAGTTACAACTGCCTCAGGTAAATTATGTTCTATTCTTTTAAATAAATCTAAAATAGTCTAAAATATTTCAAATTTTTTGAATTTCATTTAATTGCACATAAAAATTTTTTTTCACCAAAATTATTGTATTAAATTTTCATTATTATTTAAAAATTTTGCCGCAACATTTTATTCGTAATAGAAATTTTCTGCAAAAATAAACGGAAATATTTATGACCTGAAAAATTAACTGTAAAATATGTGGCATGAAAAAAAGGAAAAAACAAATGTATTTAAACAAAGTATTCGTTGAATTATTCAAATTATACGCCCAAAAAAAATTAAGCAATAAACTTATTATTTATTAAGTTAAATTTTCCCGCATTTGACCAATCATTAGCTCTTATTTTGTACCGTGTTATAGAGAGCTGCGAATTTCGCCTGCTAGTAAAAGAAGTGCTTGACATATTACTACTATTCAGTACCAACTAGGAAAGTGCACTCGTAGATGCAGTTATTTAGTGCTGCTGCAAGTAGTGATTGTTTTGATTTGATTTTAAATAACTCCAAGACATATATTTTGGCTTTGTGATCGGCCACTAATCATCAAAACGACATATATTCTTGTTATAGTTGCTTTGATTTTTTCTCTATTTTGATATTCCGTGGGAATAATCATACGAATGCGTTCCGATGTCGGTTTTAAGCCCCACAGAACGAAATGCCTTGCAACTTATGCTATCTCTATGATGTGGCTGATAATATGGCTATAAGACGGAGTTGAACTTCTGTGTTTTGTAACACGGGACATCTTTGAGTTTTATAAGCAACTAACAATCTTCTTGTTAAGTCATAACGTTATTTATTTCACTGCTTTCTAGCATAAGGTGAGTTGAGTATTATAACTAGCAGTCACTTGCTTAAAACAAAGATGCTGAGGTCTCCTAAATTCCACTGGTGCACTCTTAGTACACTTCCTTTCATAGTCCCTATCACTGCAACGCGGACGGGAGCAAAAGTCGCTATTTGGATAATCTTTATCAGCATCAAAGAGCTTGGTTTGTCTATTTGTAACTTTAAGAATCGAAACTTATCGATTTTTAAAAATTGTAAGTTTCTAGTTTGGCCGAGATTCTCCTGGATTTCAATTGAGATATACGAGCATATTCTGGACTTGTGACCGTCCAACAGTCACAAGAGAAAATTTTGTGCTTTTTTGTTGTGCAATTCGATGTATTTGTATCAAATTCAATCTTCCGGAACAATAGTTTCAATAAAATGTTCCAATATCAAGTTTGCTATAAGACAAAGATCTGACGTCAATTAACCCAGAATCAAGTTTGCTATAAAACAAAGATCTGAAGTCAATTAACCCAGAATCAAATAAAACGCTTTCTGACTTGTGTGATGGATAACAGCCAATAATCATTTATTTGGCTGCTTGTCTTTTCGTACACAAGACCGATAATCTATTCATCTGGTATTGGTTCAGATCTATTTCGAGGATAGATCCGTTTCATCCATAAGTATGCTACAGAAATTAAAACAGCTTTAAAATTAGTCATTAATTTTAATTGATTTATATATAGAAAGCGCTCTGCGGTTTTAGACCACTGAACGTGAACAATTCAAAACTTGTTGACGTAACGGCTTAAGGCCATGAAGTCCAGGATGTCTGACTGCAACATTAAGTTCAAAAATAAGTGATCGCAGCCCGCTAGGAACTTTGCAAGGGTCTTGGTTGTTTTACACCAAGAGTATAAAGGCTTATACTAATTCGAAAACCCAGGTGTTGTAGGTATTGTATTTATAGTCTCAACATAATACATAGGTTTAGATATATTCTTTATCTGTAACGCTTATCTATATAGACAACTTTTGGAATCATTCATTTTCAATATTGCCTCAAAAGGGAGGACCGATAAGAAACATTTGTGGATAAAAGTCCTACAGATACCTAGAAAATTCCATTATTAAGGATTATCCGCTGTCCACTTGATTGCATGTTTGTTAAAATCACTAATACGATTAGAAAAATTTTGGTACAAAAAATATGTTCTCCTTGCAATCTTGGAGGGATTGGTTTCCATCCCTTATGCAAAAATCAAGTTTTTTTTTTTTTTTTTTTGAATAACGCTTTGTTTGACTAGTTTTTCCATAGGCATGGTAACTGTCAATCGACATTTTTGGCAGCTCTGCATGTACACGCCTTTGATTCTGACGACGTAGTATTTGCATTGTCATATGGGCTTGGAGAGCAGAACGTGAACTGTAATAAATAAAAAAGTAAATTAAAAAAAAAGTCAATTATATAAAAAATCTCTTTTAAAGTAAGCTTTAATTATACATAAAAGTTTGGCACATACGTAATCAGACTTATGCAAGCAGGAAATAGAAAAAGGCTAATTATATACTTTTTACCAGTTATATTAGCAAGGGAAGAGTTATCGACAGACAATGCTTTATATACAGAGAATTATTGCTTCACTTGAAAAAAGTCGGTAAAAAAACGTTAACTGATTGCATTTGAATTTCACGTCGGAATCGCAATACTTTTTTGACGGTTTTTTAAAAGTCGATCCATTCTTTGGTTATCTTTATAGGGATGGTAGAACTGCTCACTCAGTCCATATGTCATCGATTGGAATAAGTGAAAATTGAGAGAGGCAATGCCCGTTGAACACAGTGGAACCCAGTGCTGTCAACGTCCGTTGTAGGGTTTCACTGTATGAGGCCAAATTTCGTCATGGTGAAAACCAACGGTATTATGATTTTCATCAACAGATTTCTCTAGTGATGGTTTATTTTGGTTGTAATAAATACTTCACAGCAGCGAGCTGTTTCTTCTCACAATGAGGCCTTCATAGATACTCATCTTCGTCATCGATATTAAATGTTCGCCCAGCCTACATTTAAGCCTTGGAAATCGTACTAAGCCCCCTTTTTTATTGCCCGTGAATTAAGTAGGCAGGAATGTAAGACTGCATACAAATACTCTTTTATTGGCACTAAATTGACACTAATATTAACACTAAGTTTAACACCATTAAAAAAAAGTCGAATGGAATGAAATAGACTGAATTACAGCCGTGTTTATAGCAACCGGACATGCAAACAGCTTTGGTTACGTCTTGCAATGCAATTTTTATTATTATTGATTTAGTTACCTATGAGATGTTGCTAAGTTCTACACAAATATAATTTTCAAATGACACAGTGTACATGTACTATACGGTTGAATACGGCTGAGTGATAAGTGCGTGCGAAAGGATCAAGAGGTTTTATTCTCTCGAATTAAAATTAATAATAGGTTCCATAGTTTCACCGTGCATTCAATCATTGCGTCTTTAACCTATCAATATTCGAATATATGTACCATGCTATATACTAACGATATATTTGATGAAAGAATTTCCGATTTCCAATTAAACGTTCTGCGCAGCCAAACAAAAAAAAAATTTGCCTGAGACTGAATATACATGTATGGAATATCGTGCACAAGTGTATTTGAAGTTCTGTAAAACGTTAATGAGAATTTTGGATTTCTTCGAAATGTATTTAATATTCAACATATCTTCTCCACTATTCGCCAAAGAAGGATTTTTCGAATTCTCTTAAACTTTGCAATTTATATCTGCCTGTACAGCTGTCTTCTGCAGACAAGCTAGTAGTAGATATCAAAAATTTCAATCTAAAGTAAACTAAGCTTTTTTCTGTCATGGTTATATTTAGAGAGATGTCTAACAGATTCTTTAAAAAAGCAATGTATACAAAAATTCTGCGCATAGGGAACTCCCTTATTATTATTAATTGCGTGGACGATCTGTGCCGTGACCTAAAAGATTTATCGTATTCGTCCGTGTTCCTAGCCCTCTACTTTTAGGATTCTTATAAATTCCTACACTTTCTTTGCTTCGGAGCAATTTACGGTGTCCGGCATTATAAAGCGTTCGCCAAATATTTAGTGTCTGATTTCGCAGATGCTCCCGCATTCACATAGGATGTGGTGAGACGCCTTACTCGTTCGTTGGCAGAATCTGCATGAATTGGTATCGGAAGTAGTTATGCTTTCCTTTTTTTCTGAGGGGACTTGTTTGCTTACATTTATTTTAATAAATCTAATTGGGTCAATTTTAATCGCTGTCACTCCGCATTTTCATCGATCAGGGAAATTGTTTTTTTTCCTCTTTTTTCTTTAGAGTCGTACTATTCTTCAGTATTGCAGAACTAAAAAGGAAATTAGTCGTAAGTGAACTTAGCAGATCTTATCGCGCGATCTTCATGCAGTCACCACTCACTTAACTCCGTTCAGCTGCGAACAATCTTTCTTTCCAATTGTGTAAACAGTTTGCTTATATGTCTTTTTATAGGTTTCCTTGCAGCTCTCTTTGTAGATTTTAGTTAACAAAATACAGAGAAATTTCTTTGGCCGTTTTTCCAGCTCTGGGCAATAATTTGTCGTATAAAAATTTACTACAGGACTTATTCATGTGCTCGCTCATTGTTTTTGTTATAAGCATTCGAGTGCATATACGTGTGTATGTGTTTGTATGTACGAGAGACAAATTGTAAAATAACAATTAAAACAATTAAAAATGTTTTGATTAAAAACACATGAAGAAGATTCGTATGCAGCTGCCGACCGACCGCATTAACATATATATAATGTATATATGTATATATATGTATTTAATGCGAACATAATATTAAATGCGTTCATAAACCATAGAAACGAGTTTAACAAATGCTAAAATGAATTAAAGGAATTTTTTCCAAAGTCACGAGTTTTTCATTGCTATTGTTGTTGTTGTCATTATAGCTATTGTTACAGCAGTTGTCCTGTTAACCGACCTTATTGACACCTGACATGATTGATAGTCATTCAATGTCAGTGACTTTAGCAACAATTAACATTTGCCACCGCAACGAGCACAATAAATATCGTCATGTTTTATTTTATTAAAAACTATACGATGGTCGGCGAGTGCAGCCTTAATCGCGTACAGCGCGGAGAAGATGACGATATATTTGCCAGATGCCAGGCAATTGAGCGAGCGAACAGTCACCGCAATGTCTAGGTTGTTGTTTTAAAACGAAACCATAATATAGCAATTTTCGCTTACCCAACCATTCCGAGCTGACCATCGAGCCAATATTTTTATTTATATAATTTTTTTTACCTTTCCTTTCTCTTTTCTCATCTTTGCCATTGTATTTAATTATAACAGCATCCTTTTAATTTATTTAAATGCATGCTTGCACTATCTCGCTCTCTCTCTCTCTCTCTCTCTCCCTCTCTCATTCTCTCTTCTGTACTATGTGTGCATACGCGTTGGCCATGAATTTATTGCTTAATGTTTCTTTTTTTTTTATTGTTTATTTTTTTATATTTCTGTATTTTTTTTTTTTAGTGCATCTCCGTTACTGAAACCATTTATATGTATTAGTGCTAGTGCAAATGTATGCCAAGTTTATATTAAAGTGTTTATATATAAAGTTTTTATTTTTTTTTCATTTTTCTTTCTTGTGTTTATGCATTTACACACAATCCATTTATTTTATTTATATATATATATATATATATAGGTGTATACCTTTTCAGTAACTTTATTTTGGCGTTCTTCGCTCGTTCTTTATACATTCGCAGGTATCGAGAAAACTCACAAAAGTGGCAGAATAGCCAGCTTAATTGGCGTGGAAGGCGGCCACGCCATTGGCACCAGCTTAAGTGTGCTTCGCATGTTTTATCAGCTTGGCGCTCGTTATTTAACATTAACACATACCTGCAATACACCTTGGTAAGTAATAAACAAACAGCATCAGGCAAATGAACGTACTCTCATACACACACACACATGCATACAAATACACACAAATAAATATTTACATATTTTTCATCCATAAAATCGATTTTTAGTCCATTGCTAGTCGGTCATGCTTTCTGTATCTCTCTGTCTCTCTCTCTCTCTCTCTCTTCTCTCGCTAACGCATTCCTACATACTACTATCGGCACTAAGTTGAATGATTTGCTTCAGAGATGCATAAACCCAAGGATGGTCTTTATCCTTTGTTAGACGGCGATCTTTTAAACACCATTTCATCAAAGCAAACATCTTCAATACACTGAACTGTTTTTCTGTTATTTATGTCTATCGCTGATTATTGCTTCCACTTTTCGGTAAATAAGAAACTTCGAACAAGAGAGAGTTCTTTAAACCAGTGATTTTCAACGTGTATGCAGGCTATTGCCAAAGAGGTCGCCAAATGCGTTCTTATATAGTTTCTAACATTCAAAAAAATAAAACCATCACAGCGATGGTTCTATATCACTCTACACAATTTATTTCCATGATGAAATACCAAAGGTTATATTTGGTTTCCCAGCAAGTGCACGCTTTTATTTTAACTTTTATATAGAGAAGGTTCCAAAATAAACACTAACTTGATCCAAATGTATGCAAAGATAATTTTCTTGTCAAAGAACTTATTATTATTCATTTACTTTCGCCGTAGACATTGTCCCTCTTAGGCTTAATTTTCTGTACTCTGAACATTAAATATTAAAAAATTCTGTCACACAAAGACTTCACAGACGAAGCTACTATGAACAATTTTTTAATGTCATGTATCAAAACTTACATCATTTTCCCCTGTAAAGCCTCAGTTTTCCTCGGAATAGTTCTATAGGAATTGCTTTAAAACATCAGCAGATGTTCAGAGATTTCTGTTGGGAAACTTCGAAAATTAAAATAAAGCGTTACGTGAGGAATGAATGTAAAAACATTCTGATTCAATCCATTTTTAATAGCATTCGTCTCTGTTCCCAAGCACGTCCGTTTACCAAACTGCTTAAAAGTATATTAAAAATGGCGACCTGTTGGTTTAATAAAAGGAAGGAGGTTGAACAAAAGGACACATGGACAGATACCAGGTGAATAGAGGAACAGACATGTTTAAATTGATTTGAAAAATGATTCTTAATCGATCGCTATAAATTAGATTGGGTCATTCCTAGACTCTTCTGCATGTTAAGAGTATGCGGGCAAATTTAATATACCAGGTGCCATAAGTAGTGTAGAGTGTAAACTCTTTGGTTCTCGTCATGAAAGCATGAAGGTTGGAAACCGCTGCATTAAACTTAAGCTCGAAATGCTTCTTAGGATTTTACCGTTAAATTTCAAAAGCATTATAGAGGCTTTACTTCCATGATTTTAATCTTCCATAACGAGTATATTCTTTAGCAAGGCAAGCTAAACAATTCCTCTGATATATGCTCGTATACCGAAAATGACAGTTTTTGCCGCAACACAATTGAGCTGGCAAAGACTTGGTAAAAGAAAAATTTGCAAGTGCATGAAAACTAGTTAAATCAATGAATCTTTTCCAAAAATTTTGACAAACAATGACAAACATTGTTCAGTATTTGTATACCCTGCAATGCCTCTGGCGCAATCTATACCATATAAAGCATATGCGGATGTACATAAAAACTTGGAGGGGTTAAGCTTAGTATATCCATTTTTCGTGAGATCAATCGAGTCATAATAATTTTTGATTTGAATTCATTGTCTATCTATCCGTCTTAGCTTTGTGCTATGCGGACCTAAAGTTCCGAATTTTTGACATAGCACGACTAAATTTAGCGCACTAACGTACCCAACAATGAATTGAATCGGATAAATCCCCTTATCATGCCCTCTTTTGAAAAAAATGTGAGTTTTTTCGGAATTCCTTTATTTCTTCATTTATCTTAGACTAATGGAAAAAATTTGGTTAAAGCGGACTAACTTTTTGATTTCATCCCCGTATAAACGTTCGCAACGAAGACAAGCCTTTCTATGCTAAAAAAAGCATTTATATTTTTAATATAACTATTATTAACATAAAAGTTGGCTACACAAAGTCTGGAGCACATAAGTCTATTTTTTGAATCTCACTCTACATTAGAGTAAAGCTTTATGATCCATTTTCTAATCTTCTCGATTGAAACTTAGTGCATACAGTAACAGTTTAAAACAGGAATTAACTATATCAACTTTGCACCAAGCAGATCTATTTTTCGGAACGGATCGCATACAAGTATTTTCATTAAAAAAAATTTTTTATATGGCAACAAAGTCTAATATTAAGCACTATATTGGCGAAGGGGATGAGAAGATCATTGATAAAAGAAAATTAAATTTTCGATATTTGGATCAGGTCAGATCATGTCGTGGGCCCGCTACCACATGCAGGTTGCCGTCGAACATGAACTCGCCGTATAATTTTTGGCATTTGCTCACTGAAACTGACATTAAAAAAAGTGACTGATCCTTTTATTCGCCAAAGTAGAGGAGGGAATTTAAGGTCGATCTTGTCCGCCTGTAAATTTTTTACCGGTTTTAGCATGAAATTACTAGTTGTTATGGTAAATATTATTTCAAGTTACACCATTCGAAGTGATTGCAATTTAACCTGTCAACGCCATTGGAAGGGAGATATTCTGCTTTCACCGTAAACTGTGAAGAACTAGAAAGATTTTGAAATTTTGCATGCCTTCGCATGCCTATGTTTCGCATATTCTGTGCTAAAGAAAAGCAACAGCTTGCGTTAAGTAAAGTAAGCAAGAATGTGAAAAAGGTTGCAAATAGCGACTTTTTTTTATTTGTCTAAACCAACTCAAGCTCCTTTCTTTTACCCCATCTCTTTTACATCTTTTTCAAGGCTTACATTTCGCTTACCTCTTAATTTCTTGTCCCATTTTCTATCCTCCGTATTCCTTGTGCTTCCATATGTTCTTGTTTTAATTTATTGCGACAAAGCCGAGGAAAAAAAATTACAGCTGTTTGATCCTTTCATCTTTATATAGAATATGCAGAATTACCAATGCTCGTAAGCTAAGCAGTGATTAAATAAAATGTGTTTAATATCAAAATTTCGAACGTCCTCCGTTCTATGCCTCATACAGAAGCCTATGCTAATGAAAAGAAATCGTCAACCTTTACAAGAAGCAATGTTCTCTCTTTATGTTTACTAATAGGTTGGAGGCAAAGTTCTGTCGTATTTTCATTCGGACTTTTTTTTTTGGTTTTTTTAGATGCTGTATAATATAAAAGCACTCTTTTTTTACCGTTCATCATTTACTTGCACTAGAACAACATAGACAGCTTACGTTACCGTATGTTCATGATAGGATATTACGTGGGCAAATAAATTCTCCTTTCATCTTTTCCCCTTTTGGTAAAATTTAAATCTGTTTGCGGTAAAGGCTGAGAAAAAATTTAGAAAGTTTGAAGGTAAGGGTAGAAATTGTGAAAGTGATGCTCTTTTCGCAATTCTAAATACTAAACCACAAGGCCTGCCCTATTTCCTTGCAATCGGAAGCATGAAAATCAAGGCTATGATATGAGCCCAACTCAAGCTCTTGCCATTTTTAGATTTGATTACGTTTAAATGCTCTCAGCAGACATAACTGATTTTCAACATAATATTACATTCGCACACACAAGCAGATAGTCTAGGATCTGTTTGATATGCAGAAGTCGCTTCAACTAAATCGATTATTTTTCACTTGATATAGATTAGATAGATAGTTAATATAAATTAACTGTTGGTTGACGGCGCTTGTGAAAAGATGTGCGTGTCTTCCGTATACTAGTAATGTTGATGTAATTCTCTATTTGATTTGCCCGTATAAGCTTTCAGGCCGATAATATGATGAATATGTATGAACGATAGAAGAAAGAAAAAGAATTTTTGAATAAATTTTCGCTTAGATTAAAAGGATAATATTGTGATCATAAAGTAGTAGGATATTTACATTTCAATTGTGCGTGCTTATCCACGAACGATTAGTAGATAACATCTGCATCTAATAGGATGCAACCGTTGTCATTACTAAATGCGATATGTTTGTTTAGTATCACCAAAAAAAAAAAAAAGAAAAACAAAGTCCCTTCGATTAATGCAAGACTGCTTTAAAGTTCAAAACGTTAAAGTGATTTTTTGAGTTTCGAGCAAAGTCCGAGGCCGTGCAGAGATATTTCATGTCAATAGCGTGTAGGTGGTATGTTATGAGTTAAATGTGTAGTGAACAATTAATTCAGCGAGGTAGGGAGCCTTACTGTGCGAAAAGGACAAGAGCAAGAGAGCGAGAGAGAGAACATTTGAGAGTCCATCCTTACTATTATACTGCTCGCATAATGAAGGGCATACTTTTTGAATTATTAATCAGTCAAACAAAACCTTTTACACTCATACTTCATAAGAATCCTTTTTTCTGTTTTTTATTTTATTTTTCATAAATAAAAAGATTATGTTGCGCAAGCAAGATTTTTAAACTTATTTTTTAGTAACTTAATACAATAAGATTTTTGTTCTGTGTTGTTGTTTTGTTCTGAATATTTGGTCTTTAAATTTTTTTTCATTTTAGGGCAGATTGTTGCAAAGTTGACGAACCGGGAAAATATCCTCATATTGGTGGATTATCTAAGTTCGGCAAGGTCAGTAAAACCATACACATTTTATTTACTGGTTTTAATCGAAAAGAAAGGTATTTCCTTAATACACTCTATATATATTTAACTGATTAAAAGAAGAAATGGGAACATGGTGTAAACCCGATATTTTTGAAGAAAAAATGAAGTTTTTTTTAAGTAACAGCATCTTAAGCTCAAAGAAAGGCATATTAAGCTAACGTTAGTCACAAATTATCGATTGATTTGTTAACCGATTTTGTATCTTTTATATGTCGCATATCGCCTTCTATTTTGTATGTGTGCAATGAAGAAAAAATAGTGGGTTATTCGAAAAGTCATGTCGCTTTCTTTTTTTTTTTTTTTGGTTAAAATCACAGACAATCTTACAAATGGTTATTCGTCAGTCTAGATCATTTACACCCTTTATTTTGTCTTCATTGACCTCAAGTCAACTTGCTTGAGTAGCCGAGTGGCTGAGAATCGCCTCTGCTTAGTCAGTGTTCGCTGGTTCGAATCTCGATGCGGTAAGACATAACACTTTCTCCTTATTCTTCCTATTTCTTTCGTTCTCTCTCTTTCCCCACTTCTTTCTAAACATTATTGTGTTATGCGACAAAGGGTACCCTCTGCGTGATTGATAATATCACCAAAAAAAAAAAGTTCTTCTACAACGTGGTACGTTTTCAGTATTACAATTGTCGGAAAGACAGAAATTGTAAAACAGTTTGGGTGCTAGTCTTCCGTCTACGCATCTTCTTCATACATATTCATTAATTTTTTTTCTTGCTCAAATACAATTTTTAGGCACCAAACAAAACCCAAAGAATCTTCCCGAAGACAAGCCTTGCTCCATTAGCTGTTAAGATAGAGACTGAAAACGCGGCTCAAGCATAAACTTGGCGGTGAAAAAATGCAATTAAGTCCACTTTTGAGAAAAACGTGATGATTTTCCGAACAATCTAACACCTAACCTAACCTAACCTAAAAAGGAATCCCTAAATTTTCGTAGCTCTTACATGCGCCGCATCCCAGTCATTCCAAAACGGAAAGTAATGTGTCTGAATTCATTTATTCTTTACACCCTTTTCCTTAAATTTTTTGTACCCATCACCGAAGATGGAGGGGTATACTCACTTTGCAAAACGTTTACAATGTCCAGAAGGCCTGAATCTGCCTTCTATTCTTAATCGAATTCTGAATCGATTTAAGCATGTCCATCTGTCCGTCTTTATAAGGTCTGTTGTAAACATTCTTCTGGCCGCAAAAATGAAGCTATCGACTTCAAAGTAGGCATAAACATAGGAACATCTTGCGCGCAGGTAGGGCTAAATCGGTCAAAGCACACGCGTACCCATCATCACGTAAACTGAGAACACCTCTATTTTTTAAAAGGAATAAAAAATTGTTCTTTCGGTCATTACTCATAAACTTTGGCAGATGATCCATAAAAATTAAAACGCCCGTTCTATGAACGATGCCGTAGCACCATCATAAAAGTGGATAAAATTGGTCCACGTCTACCCAATTTTATAGTGTGTAAGGTGTGTCATGCCTGTATATTTTTTTCAAAACCTTTGTAATGTGCAGAGGCGGGCTTCACAAACCCCATAATGTAAATATATAAATTCTTGCTCGCTTTCAAATTCGGGGTGCGCATAACGATATCCGCCCGTTCATCTGTCTACTTGTCCCCATGTGTAGTAACTTGCAAAAGAATTTGAAAATCACACAAACTTTTCAAAGAACACGCTTACAATACCCATTCGTCTATGAGAGCGACCTTGCTTCCCACAGTGTTTACTTCTTATTCATAAAGTACAATCACATACTTACTTTGAATTTTCGCTTTTCTAAAAGCAGGAAAAATCCGCGCAATATTATAGAGTATGAAAATTTGTATTTTATGATCAATCAGGGATTAGTGCTTAGCAGAGTGGGGATCAGAAAGAAGAAAGGAAAGAGGAATACTTTCTGGTCGTAGCCTGGCTGTATCTTTGAACCCACGTCAAACTATACTTAAAGCTCTCGGGATTGGGTCCAAATAGGGCCGACTTAATATTTACGCTTCTGACGCTAACTAGTGGGTACTCATTGGTAACCCGTCCATTGTTGCGGAATAATATAAAATTCGGTCTTAATTAAATAAATAAATTTCCTTTTTTAATTACCATTAATTTTCTGCAAGTTTTCTTTCATAGTTGGGACAAATACTTGAAATATTTAAAATTCTTTAAAAGAGTAGTACGCATGAGGAAAAGAGTAATCAATAGAGAAGAAAAAAATTTCTTGAAACAATATATTTTGCAAAAATATTTTGCATTTTTTTAATAATTCATTTCAATTTAGATTAAGAGATAGTCACTCAGTACTAACTAAGGAAACCTATGCAACTATATATACAATCAACTCTCTCTTTCTCTCGGAATATTTTAATGCGTTTGTCATTGAAAAAGAGAACGAAAATTAAGAAAAAAAAAAAAAAAACTTATTAAATATAATTTTATGGTATTATTATTATTATTCTTATTTTTTCGTTAAACATTTCCATGAAAGGCACGCAATGATGAAAAGCATACAAAATGAAGAAGAGCCAGTAATGAGTTCTCTTGAATTTCATAAATGAAGAGAAGAAATATGTTTTATACGCGTTTTTTTTAATGTTTTTTTTTATTTTCGTTTTTTATTTGAACGTCTGAAAGCTTGGTGTAGAGAATTATCAGAGACAGTCAGTCCGGGGGCTTGCAAAGCGGTCGGCAGAGAGAGAGAGAGAGGGTGAGAGAGAGAGAGAGAGAGAGAGAGAGACAGAGAGGATTTGTAGAATTTTCATTAAAACGATTTACAAAAAGTTTCAATTCACTTTATTTTATACCTACAGACTTAATAAATCCGTACACAAAAAAAAAGAAAAACTTTCTACCATTCAGTAAGGCATCCATCCATTCATTCATTTATGTATATCCGTGAATATATCTACAAAAGGCATAAATTATGTTGTTGTATGAATGCATTACATACTATTAAGTAAATACGTATAGAAAAAGTCAATGTTTGTACTTTGGATTTATTTAAGGAATTATATGTTTGTGTTTGGCCCTCGGACCCCATCTTAACTTGTACTCATATTAGTCTGTCCGGAAAACTCGCATTCACTCGGGCTTATTTAAATATATATATATATATATATATATATATATATATATGTATATGTGCAAATATACATATATATATATATACATATATATATGTGCATATATCCCTTAGCAAAAAACGAGTTTATTAATAATATTTCGTTTACTCTTTGCGACATTTCTTCTTATTTTTCTCGTTATACGCTGTTATAGCCGTTCTGTTTCTGTAGACTTTATCTTAACAGAGAATTTTCCTTGGATAATTTATTTACTTATGCTACCAAAACTCTTTCTTTTTAACTTTTTTGTTATTTTTCTTTGTTATATACATCCAGTTTAAGTTTATTTTGCCTTCCATGCCATGTAATATTGATGTGTTTCTTAACGCTCTTGTTGCCATTGCAATACATCAACATCAGCTAACGGCAACCGGCTAACCGCTTTGCAAAAATGTTGGCATATACCAGCCGAGAGTCCGGTAGCACATGAAATCTTTAAATGCACTTTGGTAATATGAACAGAGGGAGAGAGAGAGAGAGAGAGAGAGAGAGAGAGAGAGAGAAAGAGAGAGGACGAAGAAAAAAGGAAACAGTAATAACAAAGTTGACATTTTCTTATGATTAAATTCTTTCTTTATATCGGTGGTTTTGCTGGTTATATCAGATTTGCTATATTTTCGTAACGCATAGGCTTTGTAGATCTAATAAAGCCTAGCGGCCAGCGATTTAACACTTCATCGTCGAAGGATGCTGCATATTCGAGGGGAAATGACTCGCGACTGTTAAGTCTATGTTCGCGAGGTTCGAATGTCAATGGGATAGACTACTATACTTGGTAGTAGCCTTCATATATGGTTATGTTCGCTTTGTTAGTACCTTTAAGCTTAAAAAATCTTTATTATCAACTTTGCTGTTGCATGTGATCTAAAACCATTCAACTATAATGTCATTGTTTTTAAGCTCTTTAAGATCGTGATCGCCAGTCTTGCTTGTCTGTCTGTCCAGAAGTAAAACTTTATGTTGAAATCTTTTCCTATCCCTTTAGGTAAGGAAAATTGAATTATCAGCCGAATCAAAAGCCTTCTACCCACTTTTGCTTGTCTGTCTGTCCAGAAGTTTAAATATGTCTTCAGATTTTCTTTTGTTTACAAACATTCAAATATCAGCTGAATCGGAATATTTGCTTGTTTGTCTGTCTGCCCAAGAGTAACAAATTTATATTCAGACCTTGTCCTTCCTTTTGTTTAAAAAAATTTATTGATCAGCTTAATCGGAAATATAAGACCAGTTTGGCTTGCAAAACTATTAGCCAATCTTGTTTGCTTATCTGTCCAGAAGTAGAAATTTAATTTCGGATATTTTCCCATCGCCTTTGTTAAGGAAAGAAAAGCTTGGTCCGATTACCTAAAACCTAAACTGAGTATTAAGAAGACGATGAAGATGCAACTCATTCACTTTATTTTTCTTCTTAATATTAAATAAGTTGTAGTCTCTTTTTTACGTTTTTAATATGTATGTAAATCTATTAGATCTATAAAATTATGCACGACATGATAAACGATCAATATTCCGGATGTAAATATATCTGTAGTTTGCATTAATGGGGGATATTAAATATTCGGCTTGAATCGTATATAACTTCATGCTATTTTTTTTTTTTTTTTTTTTGCTTCATTACTGGTTTTTCAATTTCATTTTTGGTATACTTTTGTTTTTTCTCCAATTGCAGCTGGTTGTACAGGAGATGAATCGTTTGGGTATGATTGTTGATTTGTCACACGTTTCGGTGCCCACCATGCTTGACGCTTTAGGTTCTTCAAAAGCTCCTGTGATATTTTCGCATTCCTCTGCTCATGCAATTTGTAATAGTTCGCGCAATGTACCCGACCATGTTCTACAAAGAATTGTAAGTTGACCATATATCCCATAAACCAAAAACAAAAAAAATATTGTATAAAAACAAGGAAAAAAATATTAAAAACTTTTTTTATAATTTGTTGTTTTTATAATAACTTTTCTTATGGGTGTACGCGCGATTGTGTACGTGTGTGTGCGTGTGTGTGTGTGTGTGTGTGTGTGTGTTTGTGTGTGTATTATTCTTCTCTGTCTCTCTTCCCGCATTGCCCTTCTTTCACTTTAATTAATTTCATATTTGACTAACTTCAAGGCCATAAATGGTGGCCTAGTGATGGTTGCCTTCTATCCGCATTTTGTTAGCTGCTCCGGTCAGGCTACGCTGCACGATGTTGTCGGTATGTATATACATACAGATATGGGCGCACAAACATATTTCATGACATATGTATGTGTGCTTCTCTTTTTTTTTTATTTTTTTGTCAGTTTCAGTTTTGTATAAAATTAACAAAAAACAAAAAAAAAAAAAATAAATAAATAAATAAAGAAAACTTTTTCTATTACTTTTATTTTACTGATACTTCAAGCTCATATAAATCACATACGCGAAGTAGCTGGTGTTGATCATGTGGGCATAGGAGCCGGTTACGATGGTGTAAATCTGTAAGTTTTAAAGTTTAACGCAAGAATTTATTATATCGTTATTGTATTCTAAAGGAGATATAGGAATCTTGACGTATTTGAGGGCGTTTTCAGTCGTAGATATAAACATATGAATGGATAAAAACACAGACAAGTTAATAGATTACATAATTAGAAATAAATGATTACCTAGGCGGATGCACGTATGGATGTCGATTAGTAGTCATAGAACTGAATGCTGATTTGTTAATACCCCATGAAGGCAGAATGGCGAAATGTATGCACGGACGGACGATAGGTTAACTTGAAATATACCTCCGAATTGAAGTTGTCCATTTCGCACTGATGGGCGGACGGAAGTTCTATTTCTGAGAGGTAAAACGCAGGTAATAGGATTAGTGCAAGCATAAAACAAAAACGGAAGGATGGACGCATGTGGATAAGACAACTTCTAATCATGAGCTGATTGTGGGACATATTATCTGAATTTCTGAGAATTATCAAAGGATCGTTAAAATTCTATACAAACGTAAGCTCCCGGGAGAATCCGTGCACGTTGAGACTGATAGACATGGATAAGTTGACCTAAAATTTAAGTTATTTCCTGCGTTCTTCTGAGAGATAAAAATGAAGTTATAGAACGGATGGATGGACTGACATGATTATTGCGCCCTGATTAAGGGATACACAATTCGAATTTCTACGATTTATCAAAGGACTCGTAAAGTTCTTTACAAATATAAGCTCCCGGAAGAATTAGCGCACACACAGACGTATGAACATAGATAATTCGACTTAAAATTTTACGTCAATGTGGAGTTATTTACTTTGCATTTTTGGCAGTTAAAAATAGCGTGACAAAGTTAGTACGAAGATAATCACAAAAGGATGGACAGACCGACACGGATAAATAGACTTGATCAAAGATGATTGTACTTGTGTGATTGTGATGTGTATTCCTCCTACTTACGTGATGTGTATATCCAAGAATTACCAAAGAATTGGAAAAGTTCATATAAATGTAAGAAAACGGGAAAATGCCGATCTAAAGATAAAGTAACAGAACTATAAGCATTTAACTGAATCCGTTAATAACTTTTCCATAACATTGCTAGAGTGTTGAAAGAAGAAATTTGTTTCTACGCCCTACATGATTTGCCCACTTTTTAAACGTTTACCTTTTAAAGCCTTTTTGAGGGACCAGTTGAGATGAGCTGCTTAGTTCACGCGAGTGCAGAAAAACAAGTGAAGGAAACCTCGGTCAAGGACTATATAGAGATAACTTTGAAGATCATTGCAAATTGCTTTAACGTATCCGCTTCTTAAAGTAGTAAATAGAACTATGTAGAGAGAAAAAATTCGCAAATTATATTTTCCAAGTTTGCATGCACAGGCAGGCAGGCAGGCAGGCAAAGGTATTTAAACTTTTACAAATGTGTAGGCAAAAGTTATTCGCTTCCTTGTTTTCATAACAATTGTTTTATTTGTTTTTTTTTCCATCTTTCTCTTTTTGTAACAATTGCTTGCACATATTAAGTGTACCCAAAGGATTGGAGGATGTTTCCAAGTATCCGTATTTACTTGCGTCTCTCCTCGAGTCTGACAAGTGGTCAGAGGAGGATATCGCTAAGCTGGCTGGTAAAAATTTAATACGTGTATTTAAGGAAGTTGAAGCGGTAAGTGTTGAAAAATTTTTTTTTCCTCCACTTTATATGATAATTTCAATGGCCTAAATTCCTATCTAATGTCTATGCCAACAACAAAACATTTATAGCTAGACTGATAAATGGTTAAATTAAAAGCCATAATAATTCCATTACTTAGAGGCAGGAAAATATACAACTAGCGTAAGAATGACAGGGTTTGTTAAGGTAACAAATGGCTGTCATAAGATATAGCTTTACTAGCCCAACAATCAGGCAACAATGTAACAACTACTAACCATCATAATACTAACAACAATGATAGTAATAAATATTTACTGTTCGAGTAAAAAGGCACAGGAAATGTTGCCAGTAACCGACATTTTCTCTATTTATTTATATTATCTTGTTTTTTTTTTTTTTTTTTTTTTTATTTTATTTTATTTACTTTTTTTATTTTTTTTTTTTTTACTTTCTTTTATTTTCTTTCCCTTTTTTTTTTTGGTTCTTCTAATATTCTCTTTTAAAGGAAATTGTAAAGAAAAGTCTACTATGTTGTGTGATAGAATTTCCTGTATTTGCTCTCTTTCTCTTCTTGACTATTTAATGGTGGGAAAAAAACTCAGCCTGTCCAAATGTCGGCTTTATAAAAATTATATATTATGTTCTCTGCACAGACACACACATATACGTAAGGGGAATAGTTAATGATTATCTGCTTGTATGACTAGATGATGACCGGTTGGAATTACTTAGAGAAAGAATTTATTTTATATTTTGACTTGTGTGTGTGTGCGTTGTTGTAAAATAAGCTGAGATTTATTTGGTTTTGAAAAAAACGGAAAACATTGTTCTTTTCTACGAACTTATTCTGTATACATTTATTTCTCTGTAAAAAATTTTCGAAATTATTAAAATAAAAATTATTCATTTATCAGAATTTTCGTTATCGTATTATGTTTAGGTTGCGACGCTTCCATAAAACCCTTCGTAGTTGGCTAAATATCTCGTATGCTCTAAATTGATTCAGAGTCTTTGCCTTGACCGTATAATTTCCTTCTTGCGAAACACGGATAAAGGGTTAGATGATAGTAATAAAATCTGCCTAAGATAAGTTTTTCCGATAAGAGATAAATACTTTCGGGATTAGTTGGGTAAAAGAATGGGTATCAAGTCAGAACATAATTTCTAAGAATTCTCCAAGTTCCAGCGTAGGTCGGTTAGACCCTCTCCTATAAAAGGATCTCAACATAAACTCTGCAAATGAAAGTCAACGGTCTTCGAACCTTTCTATAATCGCAACAACTCTAAATGGTATCGATTATGACACTAAACTCTTTTTGAAATGTTTCCTGCAGCTGTGATCCATTTAGCTACAAGCCAATCGATACAATAGTTTTGATAGATGATGAATTCTTGTGGAATGTATTGATACAAGAAGTCGAAATGATCGATAATCTTCATCATTTCATTTTGGCAGACAATTTTTCAAAACAATTCCATTCAATTCAATTAAAACTATGCGAAACGCAAATAAGTAATTCTATGCATAAAAGATATGTCAGCAAGATGGATGCCGTGTACGTATAATTCGCAATTCGGACCATTCAGACATTTAACGAAATCTAATAACGGATTGTATGCGTTCAATAGGAATAAAACTGACCTTATGTCCTGGTGAAATGTTTATTTGGCAACCGTTGATTCGAATTGAGTTCACGTGGTGCAAACGCGGATGAGTTCCTTTCTTCAGCACTGATAAAGTTAAGGTAATCAAAATAAGAATGTTATGACGAAATTTTCGTTTGTCGAAAGAAATTTCTTTGAAGAGCTATTTGGGAGCCAATATAACAGCAGCAGAAGGATCTATTGGCAGCAGAGGTTCGAGTAAAGCAGCTTATTCGAGACAACAAACTGCGGACTGAGTTTAGTTTTTTTCGGTTCCAAGGCAGCCAAAGGTATCGAAAAATCGCGGGAGAAGTTTGTCATCAAGAACGACAATTACTTACAGCGGATGTCAGGAAAAAGAAAAGAATTTTTCATCAAGATAGTGCACCAGCGGCTAATAACTAAATCGCATTTCCTGCGGCTTCTCATCCAGTCCCAGAAAAAGCTCAACATATCTCTTCGTAATACTATGTGAACATCTTTTTTTGTTTGCTCTTGCAAATACATCTTGTTCATTATTTGCCTTAATATGTAGGTTTTCAATATATCCCCTATACGTGAGTCAGGATAATGGTCAGAATGAGAAGGAAATAGTGGTCGGCCGCTGCCTAGTGCTCAATCGGTCATTCACTACAGCCGCCTACCGCACTGAGATTTGAACCTGCTATGCCTGCTTGGCTATGCGGCAGTTGGCTGTTCTTAATTATTTCGTTTACCAATACTGTAGACGTTAAGTTACATTCGTGGAAATAAGTCTCAATTAAACAATAAAAAAAACTTGCAAACGTTAAAAGCGAGCGTTTTTGCGAAATTTGTCTTCAGCTTCTGATTCTTTAGCAAGAATACAAAAAACTTTGTATATTTTCTTACCACTGACTCACGTGGACCTGCTGGATTTATGCTTTTATTTTTTCTGGATACAATCAAGTGTACGAATTCTTCACCAGCTTGCGGTTTGGCCTACTCTTTGTCCGTCCACTTGATTATATGTTTGCCATATACTTGTGGGAATAGTCGCGGTAGCAACAATTGATATAAGAACTTAAACTTGTTCCTCTTCTTTATTACTCCATTGCGACAGTGACGAACTTACTGAAGAAATGGGCTTAACCGGCGCAGGCATGCGTCCAAAGTAGGCAAAACGTGTAACTTACAATTCGTAGCGCATATTGATGTAAGACTTGGTGTAGATATTGCGCAACACATTGCCGCCTACAAAGCAAAAGCAGCTTCGATTGACTAACTGACATGCCCAACAAGTATCTTGTTATTGTTATGGATAAGCTTAAGGTATTCAAAAATTCGAATCGGATTTTTACTTGTTATTTGTCTCCTTTTATGGGAGACACCCGAGACTGCCAACGACACTTAATTGTTCTCCTTCTTCTTAAGCACATATTAATCCGTCCGCAAGGATCTTTCGACTTTCTTAGCTGAGTCAAAATGCTTTTGAAACTCATTGACAAGGAACATGACACAGTGTACAGCCCAAGTGAATCTGCGTAACAAATCTGTCGGCTCCGTAAGCAATAACAACAATAGCTATAACTAAATACAAACTTTGGAAAAAACCTCTTGAAAATTTCCAGAATATTGGTAACACGCCAAGATTCAAGATACCATAAGTGATGTGCAACTGCAGAGGAGAATGCGCGAATTTTACAAATATCCTAGAAGAGTGACGATATATTCATTAGAACATTTTATGCCCAGCATTATAATTGTAGTCCGCTTAAATTTTTTGCACCAGTGATGCTTACAGTTTCTAAGTACAAATGGTTGATGAGGTGCGCAATAAAGTATTTGCAGAAAATCTTAATGGAAGAAACTCTCTTTTTAAAGAGATTTTTATGACATTTTCTAACTATATTGCTTCATTTTTGACACGTAAATATTTCAGTGGGTAATAAATGGAATTAAACTTGTTTTTTAAGCCTTTTGCACCAACGTCACCTCTTTTTCCATAATTTAACTAATTGAACTGGAAAGAAATATAAATGAAAAGATTGAAGTCATAAAAACAAACAATCGTCATAAAAAAAAATTTACGTACTTTAGTGGAAACAAGTAAAAGAAATTTATACATAAAACAACCGGCTGTGTGCGAATCTTTTATGTCCAACATCTTCTTTTTAAAAATGTCTCAAAGAAAAACTAAGTTTTCTAAACTCCACATTGCTCAGTGGACGCGACTTTTTTTCTATATTCTGCATAATGCAAATAGAGAGGCTTTTATCATATCAAAATAGTTTATGTTGCACATATGGGCGTGTGTATGATTTTCAATATCAACTTCCGAGCAAGACATTACACATTTTTTGTCAAATTTAGGCTGACATGTTTATATTTTCGATATTACGCAGACGGACAGATGCAGAGAAAGACATGGCTACTTCGATTCACGATTTGATACTGACCAAGAGCGCTTGTATGTATTTTGATCATTTTTTTCATTTAAAAAAAACATTTATTGCGTCATCTACACCGCTTTCTGTCTTTCTGACAACATGGCGATACCGCGTCAAAAAAACGATATTGATTTAGCAGACCCATTTACGTCCTTCTTGAGCATTTCAAAACATAACCGCAGCCAAACTATGCTGCATTAATCTGAACAAATGGTAATCAAGACGCGCCATGTCAGGTGAGTACGCTTGCCAGAACCTCCCATTCGAGCTGCAATAGTGTATGTTTGACAACTCTTTTGACTATTTGGAGGACTTATTCAATTGACGTCACTAGGCGTCTACAGTAACAGTTTCATTCCGGTTCAGCAGCTCGTAACACACTACTCATGACTGATTCCATCATATGCACAGCACAACTTTATGCCAATGAATATTCCGCTTTTGGATTAACCTATGACTTTTTGCACCTCGAATTCTCGAAGCAGAATCACTTTTCATCGCCACTCACAATACGTCACGGAGTGCGTTCTTTTTTTCCTTGGCAAGCAAAGTCATTTCTGGTCAATTCCACCATTTTTCCTACTTTGGATCTTGCCGATAAATCTTGCAGTCCCTTATCTTGGCACTTTTTTGGTCCTGCAGACAGCTCTTTATTGTTGACATCAAAATCACCGCCTTTAAACCGTTGAAGTCAAAACCCACAATTGTGATAAGATGGACTAGCCTCATTATAAGCTTGTAAAAATCTCTGATGGGCTTCAGCAGCAGATTTCAATTAAACAACAAAAATAATTAATGTTGAAAATGCAATTACGAGCGTTCCCTGATTAGCGTCTACCTGCACTGAATCACTCAATAACACTAAATGGAAAAACTGTTATCGTAGGTACAGAAAGGTCACAGGCATCAAATTTAATCCGCATTACTTTCTTATTTCCACCAACAGATATCGCAGAC